TCAGCAGTATGGATTGCAGCACAGCAGCTCCCCCTGGGGGGTGGTGATTTCTCACTACCCCTCTCTCTGGCCAGACCACATGCCCTTTGGGTGGAAACAATTTCTATCCATGAAGTTGTGAAAGAAAAATAAATTTGCGCTCTTGACAGTTTTGCTGTTGTACCTCAGACTTTTATCTTAGGTATGCATATGAAAAATCAATACATGAGTGCAAGTACTTGGCAGTTTTAGGCACTCGCTGGGGCTCAGCTCTTCGAACTACGACCTGTGGATAAGGCAGCGCTCCGACACTCTAGTGAGAACACTACACTATTACATGACGAAGGCCTTGAAGTGACTTAGGAACAATAATCCAAACTACCCCAATATGGTTCTCTTTTCATGCTGTGCTTTGGGCACGTTCTATTTTTTTTTTAAAGATACTTTTAAAAAATAATAATTTATTTTTCTCTATTATTATTGTTTTGACCAGAGAGAGACAGAGAGGGAAAGTGAGAAAGCAAGCCACCAGGTCTGGGACTCAAACCACAGTCAGCTATGTGGAAGTCCATTGTTCTTAACTACTATACTACCTGTTGGGTACTTTGAACCTGCAAACAGATGTCATTTAGTGCTGGATACTGTCCTGATTGATTTTATGAATGGTTTTGTTCCCATTTCTCTGTTCATTCTGTCTGTAACTTCTGTTGTTTGGATATGGGACCACCTGAACATGCCTTTCAGATTTATCTTTTCGTTCCTATTTTCCATCTTCATTTTTTACTGTACTTGGTGGCAGATTTTTAAAAATTCCCAACCCCTCATTTCTTTTCATTTCTACTATCATATTTTTAATTTTAAGAGCTTTAAAAAAATTCTCAGTATTCTTTACTTTGTACTACATTATTGGGGCATCAGAAGAGTCATGATGAATTTTCACATAGAAAAACAGAAAAATACGTCATGACTTTCTCAACAGCCTAATAATTTAGATTATAAATCACTTGTTCCCAGTAAATACCTTCACATCATGCTTTATCTGGTGATAGAATTTCAGGTGATTAGCCACCGTGTGAGGTCTGTAACAAACCATGTGCATAACTGTCCACTCAAAGGCACTGTCTTGTGCGCTGGTAACAGGCTCACTGTGCATGGCACCAGTTATTCAGTGATGTTTCAGTTCCCTGGTAAGACTGGTATCCTGGGTAGCCGCTAGACTTGTTCCTCGATCAAACCCTGCTCATTTCACCTCTCCAAAGTAATCACTGTGAATCCCTAGCATACACGTGAGCAAGCTATCAGCAGCTCAGAATTAACCTACCCAACGCCTTTGAATGTGGCAGAGCAGTTGTCTGAACGATTTGAGTCCAAAGCAGTCTTTTTCCCTTCATGTTTGAAAATACCATAAAAAAGTGATGATCATACGCTTTCACCTAGTTTAAGAGAAATGCAATTTAAAGTTAAAAAAAAAAACTATATTTTGGGGACCAGCAGTTAGCATAATGGCTATGTTGCCGGACTCCCATGTAGTCGACTGCGGTTCGAGTCCCGGACTCGGTGGTTTAAACTCACACCGGGCGCATGTGCGTGCGTGCCCAAGATCCTGAGAGGAGAATGGAGGAGAAGGGATTGCGCAGTGGCTATCCCCCCTGGGTGTGATTTCTCACTTTCTGTCTCTTTGTCTCTCTCTGTCTGGCGAGTGCATGCACTCGCAAAAACCTCTCCAAACAAACAAGAAAACAAAAAAACGCCTGTATTTTGTAAATTTCATCAGAAGGGGTAACTATTAGCATTAAATCTAAGTAGTTATTACTAGAACTCAGCAAATCACTGACCCTTAAATCCAGTTATATAGCCCTGATTAAAATAGTATGCCATGGTAACAGTTTCAAATTTGTATTATTTTTGCAAACTACATTGTAATAGTGATCTTACTGAGATAATAATGGAAAAGTAAAAACACTAAAGCCAATGTGCGAAAAAACCCAATAGAATTTAATAGATTATTAGCAGAAAACTTGTGTATGGTACATTTAAATTTGAACTTCATTTTTTGGGGGCATCAAGTATGTTAACAGTCTCAGTGATTTTAAAATGTGACTTGTAAAACTCAGTCATAGTGTGTGTGTGTATACACACACACACACACATATATATATGTAATGTATTCAAGAATGATGTTGTAAACTGCTTGTTACAATTACACTAAGCAAAAGTAATTTTTTTTTAAGGCTCAGTCTATCCCTGATAATGCTGCATGTTTTAAACAAATGACTCTAAGATGTAAAGCATCACACTTTTTACTAAAATTGAACAAGCTATTAAAATTGCTACAGATATCCACCTTACCTTTCCACTGCTATTTTAAACATATACACATTGTACAATAAGAACCAAAAACATTCAAGGCAGCGAAACGGTATCATTAGTAGAGTGAAAATCTTAGTCCTTTGTTTATTCATTCTCCAAAGGAGTTACAGTACTGAGGCAGGAATTTTCCACCTATACTTTTTTTTTAAAGGTTTTTGCCATAAGGCGTGTGTTCTTGCCAGAGAGAGATGGGGAGAGACAGTGGGAGGGAAAGTGAGAAATCATGGTCATGCCACAATCCCTTCTCTTCCATTCTCCTCCTGGGATTTTGGACAAGCACACACTTGTGCCCAGAGTGATTTTTAAGCCCCCAACCAGGTTCAGGACTCAAACGGTGGGCAGTCATGTGGGAATCCAGCGCCTTAACCACTATGCCACCTGCTGGCACTACCAGCTGCATTTTTTTGAGGGGACAGTGTGGCCTTAAATGATTGTTCTGGAGACTACAGTTTTTGCAGGCAATTGTGCAAATAAATTAGATTAATATGAAATGGTACTTGTTGAGGGGAGAAGATTATTTTAATACCAAACTGAATAATGACTGAAATCAAAGATAAGGATAAAGAAAAATCAATCTCATGGCTTCCTTGCTCTCTATGGTGGTAGTGTCACTCTAGTTTTATAGGTGCTTTACTTTTTATAAAGTGCAATAAACAAAATAAATAAGATGAAAAAAGTTAGAAGATGTGTATACAGTTCTGCAATTAAGAAAAATGATTATATTCCTCATAGTCTTTTAGCTCTGTGAAAGCTGTCACATACACTAAAAGCTCATTGTCCCAGGTAAAACAATGATTTCCTCTGAGATCCATCTAGTATCAAAGAATATGTAACTACGCAAGCTTATTCTATATCATGAGGTTAAACAACAAAGTTACGTGCTATAGACTAAATCCAGATATGGTCAGATGCTGAGCGTTGTTCCTGGCTTCAAAATAAGATGTGTCTGTTTCGTCATCTGGTTGCGGTATGAAGGGCATAGTTTGATGCTGCAGATTTTCCCAGTCCATGTCCCTGAAGAGAGGATGGTGTTTCAGCTCTTAAGAAAAATAGAAAACAAAACAGAATATTATGACACCACTTCAGACATGCTGCTTATAGGAATTAAAAAGCGAATGTCTCAAATATATTTTGCCCTACTGAGTTCTGCCAGCCTTGCTGTTTAATTCCCGTCTCCCTGTTTTCACATACGTCACACAGGCATACACTACGTCATGTTCTATAGCACTTGTCGGAGGACAGGCGGGTGCTCTGTTACTGTCCAGTGAGTGAGGGATCTGCCTTCCCAGAAGCCTGTCTGTCCCACTGCCTGCATCTTCTTCTACAATCCCTTACCTGAGAGAAGACGGCCGGCCTCCTTGCTCTCGATTCGCCTTCCACACTGCCGGCCTTCTGTGACTAACGTCCTGGCTTCGAGGTCTTGCCACCTGTTGACGGCCCTGCAATCCTTAGCACTGTCGACTGCCCTAGGGAACTTTAGCAGGAAGCTCTTCCTCCACGCCCTTTCTTCTCCCCAACGCTTCACAGTGAATCCACACACACACACGTTGCCACCGCTGACACATTCTCCTCATGGTTCTGTGACTTCCCTGATGTCACTGACACGCATTTCTCCCACAGGCGGCCTGCCTAGCAGCGTGGCCACAACTGGGATCTTTACATCACAGCACTGCTCTGCTTAACACTGCAAACTCTACTCCCCTCTTTAGCTACATTCCTTGTTTTTTTTTTTTTAAATTTTTTTTTAAAGGTTTTTGCCATAAAGGTGTGTGTGCTCACCAGAGAGAGGGGGAAAGAAATTATACCCAGGGGGCGATGACCACACGCAATCCCCTCTCCTCCATTCTCCACTTGGGATTTTGGGCAGGCATGCCCGCACGCTAGTGTGATTTTCAAGCCGCTGGGTCCAGGACATGAACTGTGAATGAATATGTATGTGTATTGAGAACTGTGGCTTGGTAGACCAATATGTCTACAAGTTGGTTCTCTAAAAACTGTCAAGAAATGGGATAAAATAGCAAAATGGTTCACATTTAGAGAACTTATCTCTTAATGACTGGGGTTAGGGACTGATTCCACAGCGCTGTGCAAAGGCAGCCAGATCCCATATTGCTAACGAGGATCCAAACGCGGATCCCAGGGACTTACATGCCGGGCATGTGCCAGTGTGAAGAGTGCTGTGCCCATGTCCTGATGGGGTGAAGGGCTGGAGGGCAGACTTGGCATGACGTGGCCATTGGACATCTCCCTCCCCGCCCCACACATGCATCAGCCTCTGCATAATGAAGGAAATTACATTAGAACCGTGATTTTCAACCAGGGTGATTTTTGCCCCCCAGTGGACATTTGGCATTGTTTGGAGACATTTTTGTGGTCACAATTAGAGGCCAGAGATTCTATTAAACACCCTACACCTGAATAGGATGGTCCTGACAACAGAGAATTATTTGGCCTCAAACGTCACTTTTGCCAAAGCTGAGAAACTCTGCTTTGAGAAATGGCCCTAACATACTGTAATTTAATCAAAATAAATAGGGACAGAAGAATAGCATTCATACCAGTCACAGTACATGTATTTGTTTCCTTAATGAACAATTTACATAGTGAAGCAGATGATGGGGTATTCTTCAGTTAAAAAATAGTTGCTTCAGTACTTAAACTAAATTAGAATTCCTTTGAGGAATTTAAAGAGAAATGAATATATATATTTTTTTAGAGAGAGAGATTTTTGCTATAGGGTGCATGTGCTTGCCAGAGAGACAGAGAGAGGGAGAAAGAGAGAGAGACAGAAAGCAAGAAATCATAACTGGGTGATGCAATCCCTTCTCCTCCATTCTCTCAGGATCTTGGGCATGCATGCACACCTACCCAGATTTAGTTTTAAGTCACTAGGTCCAGGACTTGAACTGTGGTCAGCTATGTGGGGGTCCGGCGACGTAACTGTTACGCCATCTGCTGGTCCCAACTGAAATTATTTCTAAAGCTCACTTTTCTAAATACCTCCTACTTCATATAGAAATGCATTTTGACACATAACACTTAATTGTATCACAAAAAGGATCTTGAGGTAGCAGCTAAGAGATTTATTAGAGTCTCAAAGTTGAGGTTTAATATAGCCTTCATGGGGAAACCACTAAATATTTGGTTGATAATGTACTAAATTTGAGGTACTCTGTGATGCAATGCATTTATCAATGTATAATAGTATCAGAAATCGGGACTAGCAGATGGCGTAATGGCTATGTCACTGGACTCCCAGGTAGTCAACTATGGTTCGAGACCCAGACCCAGTGGCTTAAAGTCATGCTGGGTGTGTGTGCATGCGTGCCCAAGATCCTGAAAGGAGAATGGAGAAGGGATTGTGGCATGGCCATCCCTCCTGGGGAGGGGGGTAATTTCTTGCTTTCTGCATGTGCCCTATAGCAAAAACCTGCCCCCCCCAAAAAAAATGAAGCAATAAGAAATTATAGATAAAAAGTTTTTGAGAGATTTTTGCTACAGGGCATGTGCTCACTGGAGAGACAGAGAGACACAGACAGAAAGTGAGAAATCACCCCCCAGGGGGATGGCTATGCCACAAATACTTCTCCTTTATCCTCCTCTAGGGATTTTGGGCATGCATGCATATGCAACCAGCGCAAATTTCAAGCCACTGAGTCTGGGACTCAGACTGCAGTCAGACACATGGGAGTCCAGTACCATAACCACTATGCCACATGCTGGTCCCTGCCAACCAAAGATTTACTGTATTTGTTGATAGTTAAGTTTGTCGGATTTTGAAAAATCCAAGACACTGACAAGATAAGATTGTTTTAGGTCCCTGCTTAAGAGAGTAAAATTCAGTATGTGAATATTACAACTGGACCATGTCCATTTTTTTTTTTTTAAGTTTTTGCCATAGGGCACACTTGCTTGCTGGTGAGAGACAGAGACTGAGAGAGGGAAAGTGAGATATAATCCCCTGGCGGAATGGACACACCGAAATCCTTTCTCCATTTTCCTGGGATTTTGGCACACACACACACACACACACACACACACACACACATCTGGCGTGATTTTTAAGCCATCAGGTCCAGGACTTGAACCGTGGTTATCCATGTGAGACTTTACCACCTTAACCACCATGCCACCTGCAAGCCCCGTCCACATTAAACTTCTTTTTTTGTGGAGAGTTTTTTTGCTATAGGGCGCGTGCACTCGCCAGAAAGACAGAGGGAGACAGAGAGACAAATAGCGAGAAATCACACCCAGGGGGAATGGCCACGCCACAATCCCTTCTCCTCCATTTTCCTCTCAGGATCTTGGGCACGCACGCACATGTGCCAGGCATGAGGTTTAAGCCACCAGGTCCCAGATTTGAACCGTAGTCGACTACGTGGGAGTCCAGCAACGTAATCATTACTCCATCTGCTGGTTCTGCATCCACATCAAATTTTAATACAGAATAAGGATAACGATACCAAAGTGTGAAGGCAGAAATAACAATCTTCAAAAGTTCATGGTAATGCATATTATGTGGCCAGCCTGAGGCATGGTGGTTAAGGTGGCTGAATCCCATGTGGCCAACTGTGCAGTTTGAGTCCCAGACCCAGTGGCTTGAAAAACACGCAGGGTGTGTATGTGCATGTCCCAAATCCCCAAAGAATGGAGAGAGACGGGAGAGGGGACTGCAGGGTGACATTCCCCATAGGGATGCTCTCTCACTTTCCCTCTCTCTGTCTTTTTCCAGTGAGCACATGGCCCTCTGGCAAAGTCTTTTTTTTTTTTTTAAAGAAAATGTGTATTGGGACCAGCAGTTAGCATAATGGCTATGTCGCTAGACTCAAATGTAGTCAACTGTGGTTTGAGTCCCAGACCTGGTGGCTTAAACGCACCTGCTGGGCGCGTGTGTGTGTATGCCCAAGATCCTGAGAGGAGAATGGAGGAGAAGCGATTGTGGCGTGGCCATCCCCCCCCCCCCAGGGGGTGTGTGATTTCTCGCTTTCTGACTCTCTGTCTTTTTGGCGAATGCACACGTCCTGTAGCAAAAACCTCCCAAAAAAAAAGAAAGAAAGAAAATGTGTACTATAAAAAGAGTATGCATGAACTTGAAACTTTTTTGGTGCCAAAATAAACTTGTACTTTGGTTCATTTTTTTCACAAATTTTTGAAGTTCCCTTGTAAACTGATTTTTTTTTAAAATCAATTTAGTCAGATTCTCTACAGTGTTGTACTGGAATTTGGTATTGTTACTAATATCACCACCTGGAACAAATCAAAATTTTTAAAAAAGTTTATTAACATAAAACTTTACCTTTCATTCCAGCTCGCTTTGTATCATCAATGGTTAAAAGTATTTCTACTGCATTTTGAGCATTATCAGATAACTTTTCTTCACCTTCTGGCCAAGGGATATCTAGAAATACAATATATAAATCAGCTGATTAATTACTGCTCAAAATAATACAGAGATAAACAAATCTATCATAAAAAAAAGCATCACCTCTTTTTAGAATATTCTGGAATACTTGTTGTGGTGTTTCATCATTGAAGGGAGGAATTCCTGTTAGAAATTCAAATAAGCAAACTCCAAGTGCCCACCAGTCTACTGCAGGACCTACAAGTTAAAGGAAATAAATGAACTCGCAAGCATTTTCTAGAAATATGTGATCAACTAAGACATTAAATAGAGAGATATTTGGATATAATCAGTGCCTTCATTGCCTGAGGTTTTCTCCTGTCTTCACAAAGCGCAAAAAGCCAAATCACCTTCATTTAGGCAATGTGATAATTATTTTCTACTTTCAAAGAAGTTAAGATTAGTAATGATCACAGCTAAAGAAAAGTTAAACCATCATTTTCATTTATTAATAACTTTTGATATCCTTGCTACTTTATGTGTTCTAAATACCAAAATACAACCAAGGAATATATTTAACAAAAAGATTATTCTCTAAAATAGACTAGATCTCAATTACAAATCACAAAATGGTAAAATTTAGATGATTATTTCTGAATCTCCCATGTTTCATAGAAGGTATGAGATGAGGCAGCAACATTTATAGTAACTGGAGAATAGACTAATAATTAGGGAGAGCAGTAATTACAGAGTGTTTTAATGTGGATTTATTCCTTTTAAGAAGAGAGAGGGGGAACCAGCAGTTAGCGTAATGGCTATGTCGCTGGACTCCCACGTAGTCGACCACGGTTCGCGTCCCGGACCCGGTGGCTTAAAACCCACGCCGGGCGCATGTGCGTGGGTGCCCAAGATCCTGAGAGGAGAATGGAGGAGAAGGGATTGCGGTGTGGCTATCCCCTCGGGGGGGGGGTGATTTCTCGCTTTCTGTCTGTCTGTCTGGCGAGCCCACGCGCCCTATAAAAAAAACCCCCCCAAAAAAAAAAAAAAAAAAAAAGAATAGAGAGGGACAAATGAAAGAATAACCAGTTTAACTATGACTTGAAGATGCAATTAGGAGGTAAGTCTTAATAAATAGGTAAAACTGACTTCTAAATAACTTTATTAAAAGCAACATTCATATACAAAGGAGTTTTAAATGATGATTTTAAACATGACCTTATACACTGGTTCAAACTTTTACTGAGTTCTGTCTATGAAGTATTTCCTAAATTAAGGTTAATTTTAGTTTAAAAATAGGTTACCTTTGGGGCCAGCAGGTGGTGTGGTGGTTAAGGTGCTGAGTTCTCACATGGCCAACCACGGTTATAGTTCCAGACTTGGCGGTTTGAAAATCATGCCAGGCACAAGTGCAAGCATGCCCAAGACCCTGAGAGGAGAATGGAAGAGAAGGGACTGCAGTGTGGCCGTCACCTTTGGGGGTGATTTCTCACTTTCCCTCTCTCTGTCTCTTCTGCAAACACATGTGCCTTAACTTAAGGCAAAAACCTTAACTTTTTTTTTTTTTTTAGAGAGGTTTTTGCTATAGGGTGCGTGCACTCACCAGAAAAAGAGACAGAGAGACAAAAAGCAAGAAAGCACCACCCGCCCCAGAGGGGATGGCCACACCACAATCCCTTCTCCTCTTGGGATCTTGGGCATGCATGCACACACGCCCAGTGTGAGTTTAAGCCACTGATTCCGGGACTCAAACTGCGGTCAACTACATGGGAGTCCAGCACTGTAGCCATTACGCCAACTGCTGGTCCCAGGCAAAAATCTTAAAAAAAAAAAAAAAAAGTTAACTTCAATATAAACTCAGAATAGAAGCTTCAGTCTAGTGATAAACTCGCCTATAAATTTCTATTAGACAATTTCACATTTATTATCATGGTTAAACACCATTTCATTTTAAAACAAGTAGGAAAGGGATCAGCAGGTGGCACGATGGTTAAGGCATTGGACACTCACACATGGATGACCACGGTTCGAGTCCCAGACCTGGTGGCTTACTCTCTCACTTTTGTTCTCTCTCTCTCTCTGTGTCTCTTTCTGGTCAAATTAAAACAAATGAATGAATAAATAAAATTAAGTAAAATAATTCTTAAAAACAAACAAACAAAAAAACAAGTAGGAAAGCATTGTGGAATCTGCCATTAGGAAAAAGAATTGCATGCATTAGAGTACCTTTAAACCTGCAAGCCACATAGTCCCATCTTCCCTGCCTATAGCCTGTTGTTTCCATAGTAACAATTATAAAAGCGTGTGGACCACCTCAGTTAGTAGGCCTTTAAAGCAGCACTGAGAAGGAATTATTCCAATGGATTAGATTATATGTAGACAGAAAAGTAGGGAGAAACCAGAAGAAACGTATTTTTATATATTTTATTTATGTTAGAAATTAAGGACCATGTTCCCAGCTTAGTCAAAACATACTCATGTTAAAAACAAACATGATTTCTCCACAGATATGTCATACATACCCATACCATATACTTAAGTCAAAGTCTAATAAGATCACATATTGTAATAATAGCAATTATACTCTATATCATTAGCCAGAGAAAAAGAACAAACTTGTTTTACACTATTGGCTTTTTAAATCAAAACCTACTTCCATAATTTATAGGGATACACTGATACTGTTATACCTATTTTCTAATGATAATGCAATGAAAAGATTTAGAATATCCAAGCTCTTTTTTAGATGCTAACTTTAATAATTTTATTCAGACTATTTCCTCTATTAAACAAAGGTTGGATATTCATACTATGCTGCCTTTACAGGTCATAACAGGCCTGCTCTTCTTCTCGGAGCAGACCACTTCTCTGGCTCTTTCTGCTCAGAATACCAGGACAATTTATTTTTGCATTTCTAAGTGAGCTACCAGAAAATAAATGATATACCGTGATCTAATTATACTTTGACTGCTGTTTGATATGCTTTGCCACAATACTTTATAAAGAAGCTCACTCACCTGGAGTTCGAAATCCTGCATATGAGAAAACAGTAGTTAGGTACACTATATTAAAATTACGAGTTCACTTCCTCCTCAAAGAATTGGGCACCAGGTATTATGACAAATATAAGGGATATGAAGATGATAAAGAGGCCTAGCCCTGATGGCAGTCATTAGCGTACTGAACTGCAGTGCTGGAAGTTACATGACTGACTAGTTGTGAGTTCAAATCTGTGGCCAGGTCAACCTGAAACATGTGGGGTGCAAGCATATATGCCCCAAGATCCTGGTAAGCTGGAGAGCTAGAAGAAGGGTAATATGGCATGATAAGACCCTGTCAAGGGTGCTCCTCCCACCCTCTGTCACGTGTGTGCATATGCACATGTGTGCAAGTGCTCTTATCATGAATAAAATAAAAACAAAACAAAAGATAAAGAAACCATATTTTCCAAAGGAGAAAACAGCCTGCTCTAGAAGAGATAATAGAGATAACTTTAACACAATGTTAAATAAACAAAAATATGCACAGGAGATTATGGGAAACTCAAGACCAAATGCCTAAGTCATCTTGGCTGAGGGGCAAGACTGGGGAGGACATTGAGGAAGTCGCGGCTGAGTGTCAGCATGCTGTCGGGCTGGGGCAGTGAGACAGCCCACCAACACAGTGGCAAGGCCCACTACAGCAAATATGTAAAACTGAAGCTCACTTTCACACTGCACGTAAGCTAGAGATAAAGCAAATTCTAAGAAATGAGCTACCAAGGGGCCAGCAGGTGGCATGGAGTTTAAGGCATTGGATCCCACATGGCCAACACTGTGGTTTGAGTCCTGGACCTGGTGGTTTACAAATCATGCCAGGCATGTATGCCCAAAATCCTGAGAGGATGGAGCAGAAGGGATTACTGTGTGGCCATATGCTCGGGGCGGGGGTGGTGGTGGTGGTGGTGGTGATTTCTCACTTTCCTTCTCTCTCTCTCTGGCAAGTGCCCGTACCCTTTAACAAAACCGGGGGATGGGGGGAAGAAATGGGCTAGCAAACTGACTTAGCTAATGGGACGCTGTACAAAAATCAGTTAAGCACTCACAGGAACTAATTTCTTTAGCTAACAGAGAAAGAATAATAATAGATGTTTTAATTTCCAGTATTAAAGAGATTATTAATAATAGTTAACAAGTGCTTCTAAAGAATTCTGTAGTACTATATAGAAGGCAGAAAACATACATTGTTCTTAAATGTTTTGCTTTTGTAGTGAAGACAAATGTAACAACAAATCACAACACAGGCAGATGACATACGTTCTAAACCTCTCTAATAAGGTGATATAGAAGAGAACAATCCTTAGTGGACAAGGGAGGTTTACTGGAAGAGATGGCATTTGAACTGACGAGGAGCTGAGAAAAACTTGACTGGAGACTGGCTTTTCTCAACAAAGGCAAAATACATGTGCAAAATAAGGAAGATATGAAAATTAAATATTTTGAGAATGGAAAAATAAGGCAAAAAGAGATTCTTTGAGAGATAAGGCTAGTGTGAAAGCACTGAGTCTCGGATATCATGATCACTAATTTAGATTTTATTAGCAGCTAAGAATAATCACCGTAGTTTTCTGAAATAGGAAGTAGAATGAACCTTGTTATGGCTTAGAAAGAAAAATTTGGTGGTTATGATTATAGGCAATGGAATGGTGAGAAGACTGAAAAGACTATATAGAAGGTCGCTAAAATAATGGAAAAAAGATGAGGTTCCTTTTTTGGTTGTTAGTTTGCTAGAGGGCACGTGCCCTAACAGGAGAAAGACAGTGAGAAAGCTTCCTCCTCCCCGCCACGGGGGCTGGTCAAGCTGCAATCTCTTCCCCATTACTCCTTTTGGGATTTGGGGCATGCATGCACATGCGTCTGGTGTTTTTTTCAAGCTACCAGGTCCAGGATTCCAACCATGCAGTCTGTTATGTGGGATTCAGCCATCTTAGCCATCATGTCACCAGCTGGTCTAAAAGATGAGGCTTTTATAGACATAGTGGCAGAGATAAAAAGGAGAGAAAAGCTGCAACAGTCTTAAGATTTAAGTGCCTTGGGGCTGGCAGGTAGCATGGTGGTTAAGGGTGCTAGACTCCCATGTGGCCGGCTATGGTTTGAGTCCTGGACCTGGTGGCTTGCTTTTTCACTTCCTTTCTCACTCTGTCAAATTTAAATAAATAAATAAATAAATTTAAATGAAATAATTATTTAAAAAAAAATTTGAGGGCTGGCAGGTGGGGTGGTGGTTAAGGGTCCTGTACTCCCACATGGCTGATCACCTGGACCTGGCAGTTGGTTTCTTACTTTCCTTCTCACTCTGTCCCTCTCTGGTAAGATTAAAATAAATACATAAAAGTTGTATAATTATATTTTTTATTTTTTTTTTAATTAAAAAAAAATTTTTTTTGGAGAGTTTTTTGCTATAGGGCACGTGCTCTCTACAGACAGACAGAGAGAGACATAGAGACAGCGAGAAATGACCCCCCAGAGGGGATGGTCACGCCACAATCCCTTCTCCTCCATTCTCCTCTCGGGATCTTGGGCACACACGCACACGCGCCCGGCGTGAGTTTTCAGCCACCGGGTCCCGGATGCGAACTGCGGTCGACTACGTGGGAGTCCAACGACATAGCCATTACTCTAACTGCTGGTTCCCTCAACACTAACATCTAAGGGAGAACTAAAGTGACGCAGCTCCAAGTCAAGGAACACCAAAGACTGCCAGCATCCACCGGAAGTAGGAAGAGGTCAGCAAGGATTTCCCTCTAGGCTCAGGGGGAACATAGCCCGGCCAACCTTGGCTCTGGACTTTTAGCTTCCACAATTGGGGCAGTACATTTTTGTTATTTTGAGCTACCCCATTTGTGGTCTTTTGCTATGGTAACCCTCGGAAACGAACATAGTTCATTTCAGAATGGAGGAATGGAAGTTTTTCAGAGAGAGAGAAGGAGGAAAACAAAATAGGTCTAAGTGTCATCTCTCTACTCTTTATGTTCCATCTGAAGGATGGCTCATTTCTGGTCTTACCCCTTTATGTAGAATGGAAGTGAGGGTAAATTCTAGACCCAAACAGGCTTCTGCACACTAAACAGAAGCAATCCTGAGCCCAAACCAGATTGGACCCGGAGAAATGTTTAGAACAAAGATAGTATAGGGCTGGGAGGTGGGCCTTCTATGTATCACTGAGACAGAACTAGAAGGCAGGGGACAAATGGCTGCATGTCCTCCAGTGTCCGGTCTTTCATAGTCAGAGAAGAGGTAGCCATGGCCATTTCCCTTTCTCTCTCTCTACAATAAATGCCGTTTGAGAAAAGAGGAGTGGATGAGTTAACCCTCTTACTCTAGGTAACCTACGGAACAAAGACATTTAAAACTGTACTTCGAACTCAAGACATGCACGCCTTACCGTGGGCCCTGCCTAGTAACAGCTCAGGTGCGAGGTAGTCTGGGGTGCCGAGAATTCGCCCATCATCCACTGGGGCTGCTCCTCTTCTCACACTCTTCGGAGTGCGGTATGGAGTTCCTGACTTGATCTGATTTGGAGTCTGCTAATTCAAAAAAAGTTTAAAATACAACAAGTATCTCAATTCCTTTTAAGGGGAATAGAAATTCAAAAAAACACAGGCTGCCAGGCCTAAGAGAGATGATCAGTTTTTGATCGGTTTTCCTCCTAACTAGTTGTAATGAGGAAAAAGCCCTCATATGTAACGAAGTTCAATAATTTAAATAACATCTGTTATTTCAATATAATCTAGGTATGTAAGAAGCAATGAAAACATCCATAAGAAAAGTTGTGTAGCATGGATTAATATAAGATAAGGACTAGCTGGCCTAGCTGCAGTGACATAGCCATGGTAAAAAGCTCTGCAATACTGATGCCACATGATAGATTGGGGTTCAGGTCCCAGGTAACCTGAGTATGCTGGCTTACATGTATGAATTAGGTGAAAGGCTGGGGATGGTGAGGCATGGGAATTGCATCCTGTTGAGGATGCTTGTCTCTCTTTGATGAAAGTTAAAGAAAAATTAAGAACAGCCACTGAGGAATGCCTTAACTGATGACTAAATTATTAGACAAGATATACAACAGAATTAAACATTAAAAACCTCTCAATGACATTTAAAAGTTTTAAGATAATGTGCCATCTCTTGTAACCTTGTACCATTGTCCTCTGCAGACAGTGTGATAAATGGAGGCTCTGAGGTTAAGGGACTTCTAAGTCATTCAGGAAGTGGTAGATAGAAAACCCAAGTCTTATAACCTAAATCCAGGGTTTTTGATAGTTTAGATTATGATCTCTCTCTAAAGGAAGGGGAAAAAAAAGAGGAAATTTAGAGCCTATAAAGGTTTACAAAACAAAACCAAAATAAGATCTAAAATAACATATTTTCAACTCTCTTTTTTTTTTCATAAAGAAAAGAGATAATTTAAATACGTCTTTGGAAGGCGGTAGTAAGGCAGCATGGACTTCAGCTCTGCACCTCACCATATTGCTGGGATCACATATAGATTAATAGCACTGGATGGTTCTGAGTTATGAGATGCATTAATATGACTGTTAAAACTTCAGAAAGTGCCAGCATTTCTTGTCAACACCTCTGAAGAATGAGCTAACATTTTTTGGTTACTGTTCTGGATAGCAGGATTCTCATCACTTTTTGGCAAAGTATATATGGCTGTGTTTTCTTAAAAAAGTATATACGGTTACATAAATGGCAGGAGGTGTTATAGTTAACAATTAACATTACTACCAGTTTTACCTTTCTGGAAGATTTCTGCATGAAAACCCCCAATAATCCATAGACTCGCAACAAGGAGAACAAAACTATATAATTAATACTATTTAGTCTAGATGAGAGGCAAATGCCTGTCTTAATAGTTTATTTTTCTAAAATCCAAAGAACAAGGTTTGAGAACATTACAACATACCTGATACGGCATGTAGGATCTTCTCTTTTGAGTAGGAGTTACAGCCATGGGATACGAACCACTATAAGCACATGAAATATCCATTGCATCTAAAGAAGTAATGCTCATTTTGGATGGTTCTGAGTTATTGGATGCATTAATATGACTGTTAAAATTTCGAAAAGCAACGGTATTTCTTTTAGAGAGGGTCAATGTTTTCAATACTTCTGAAGAAGGAACTAACATTTTTTGGTTACTGTTTTGGACAGCAATATTCTCATCAGCTTTTGGCAAAGTATTTTCTTGGCAGTTGGATGAAACAGTAAGTAGATCTTCAATATTTGAATCTTCAAAAGAGGATTCTTTCATGCTTTTATCTGGATCTAAGAACTGTTTTTCTAAGGAATTTTCCATTATAGAAATTCCAGGAAAAGATGAGTCCAAGTCCATAGAAATACTTTTAGAAGTCCTGTCATCATCAGAGCATAGAAAACTGGAACTTAAGCAGTCATTCTTACTATTCTTTTCACAATCCTCATCCAGTTCACACATAAGGTTTTTTGCGATCTCTGGTATAGATAATTTTTCTGGTGTTTGTTGCTTATCAATAAAAGAACTGAAAATGTTCTCCTTATTAGCACAGTCATTTTGCTGTCTAGATACTGATAGTTTAAGGTCCCGGACTTCAGCTGTTAAGCCTGTATTTTGATTTGTATGACAATCTATCATTTCATTACCACACTGATACTCAACACAATTTTTTTTATTCTGTATAGTTTCCTGGCAAGGACTAGAGTCAACCAACTCAAAATTTCTTTTTAAACTTCTTTTTCTAAGGTGCTCTTCAGACATATCACCAGAATCAACAGCCCACTGAACTGACTGATGAAAACCACATTGTCCTGTGTTGGTGGCCATGTTTGTATTATTTACATACAGTTCTCTTGCTTCCCAGCAAGTTTCCTCTGAGAAGCTTTTCTGAGCAAGGTTTACACCAGAGCTTCCAGTGGCAAGAACAGCACTGGTGTCATGAATGGGAGAAAGGGCTAACTCAAGATCCTTTTTATTTAAACTTTTGGTCTCGATGGCATTTGTAGATTTTGCACACAACTTTTCACCTGTATTCCCACTCGTCATTGTAGAGCCCAATACTTCGTCATTTTCCTAAGAGATGAAAAACAAAACAAGAAAAAAACACTTCTTTTTAGTTAAATAGGACAGATCAATAGGCAATATAGTCAGGAAAATTTGGGGTAAAGGTTACATTATGTATATATCTGCTTTGCAATAGAAATATAGATGATTCTATTTTGAATTGCAAAATGCACAACACTTGAATTCTAGCCAATGATAAAATTACAGACCAAAAATACAATAATGTAAACATATGTATCACACAAATATGATAAAAACAAACTGGTAAGGATGATGTTAAACTAATGGTAACTTGTAATTAAAAACCAAAAACAGTGTGAGCTAAGAGTCTCTTGTCTTGGGGCCAGGAGGTGGCATAGTGGTTAAGGCACTGGACTGCCATATGGCTAACAGTGGGTTGAGTCATGGATGTAGTGGCTTGAAACTCAAAGTGGGCATTCATGAATGCATGCCCAAAATCATAGGAGAATGGACAGTGGCATGGCCATCCCCCTTTGGGGGACATTTCTCACAGTTTCTGTCTCTCTCTCTCTCTCTCTGGTGAACACATATGCCCTATGTCAAAAACCTTAAAAAAAAAAAAAAAAGTGAACAAGATGAACTGATGATGCACTGATAATAAAACTGTTTCCTCAAAAACTGAATTCCAACTATCTCTGGGTGCTGAGGTTTACTCAGAGATATATGTAAACGGGCACGTAAAGACCAGGTTTTTATTTTTTCTTTTTAATGACCAGGATTATTACAACTAGAGTAAGCCTTCAGTAAACTCTGATAGGGCCATTTTTTTTTTTTTTTTTTGGGGGGTTTTTTTTTCCTAAACGGGGCGGGCGCTCGGCAGAAAACCG